GGTAGGGGGTTTTATTTTCTCCTTTCCAGAGAGTTTAAAGGGTGAGGGTCTCCACACAGGACTTGCATCAAGAACATTGCATGTACAGTAGGAACAAGGGGCCTCTGCTAATGCAAGTCTGTTTGGATAGCCCCTCTCTCAGGGCACAAAGTTGTTATTCCTACTAGAGTCAAAAACAAAGAGAAAACTGGGTGGGAGTAAGATCTGTTCTTCCCAGCAGCCAATGCAGAAATAGCCACAGAGGCACAGAGCTTGAGTGGGAGAGGCACTCCTGCAGCTGGCCAACTGTGACCTTAAAGGTCAACCTCAGGCTTCTCCTCCAGGTGAATCAGAATAAATTATATACCTATCTCCTAAATTCAGGACTTGGATCCTAAAACAAACCTTCCCTGAAACAAAAATTTCCTGAAAACCCCTACAACAACTACCTGGGAGTTTGTAAAACTGTCAGCTGGGAATGGGGCTTCTGAATTATGTGAGATGGAGCGACCTGGGAGAAGACTGGAGCATTAACGAACTTCCTTAAATTAACTGAAGGTCAAAATCTGATTTCGGATAATTCCTCAATCTCCCAGCACCTTCTCATATTGTTTTGCACACATAAAAGAAAAGTTCCCCTTTTTCTTCTCCCTCCCCTCATGAGTTCTCAGTCATGCATTTTGGTCTGTTTTGAATGGGAACAGTAAGCCAAGAACTTTACAAATCAGAACTGTATCTGATGATTTTGCCTGAAGTTACTTGGGAACATATTTGGGCAATTTATGACACTATGTCTGTGCTATGGGAGGTCTCTGGGAACTACTTATCAGAAATCTAAAGACCAATAGAAGAGGCTGTTGATATAATTACAGTATTCCTTAGCTTACACACTTCTACATTTAAAGAAGATGCTTTTGTTGAATAGTCTGTTTTCATGCCCTATAAATTTAGAGACTGTTATGTTATTTTTTTGTGATTTATGTGAGTTATATGATTTTTTTAAAAAAATAAAAAAGTCCAACTTGTAGCAAGGTTACTTGTGGAGGTGAAACCTAGCCTGAGTGTGTATAACTTGTGGCTCTTCAGATGTTGTTGAATCACAAGTCCTAGCAAACCACGGCCTGAGGTGAAAGATGCTGGCAATATTAGCTCAGCAACATCTAGAGGGTCACAGGTGTCCAGTCTTTTGATTTTTATACGCATCCTGAAATGCAGTGATGGAACAGAAAAATATACCAGGCACACATACACACAACAAACCAACCAAAAGGGTTTTCAAAAAGGTTCTTTTTGTTTATTTATTAACATTATGCCCTCCAATGTTGAGCATCTAAAAATCTATGACTTCTATGTTGCTTTTTCTCATTTGTTGAACTTTATGTATATGCACTCTATTCCAGCGCTTATATTCTGTGGCTATTTCAGAATGCTTTTAAAAGAGTTTGCTAATTATGCAGGCTGGGAATTGCAAATAGAGTAGTAGTGTATTTATTGCTGTGAGTATTGTTAATCTCATTAACAGAGCCAGAAAGCATTAGGCCTATAGGCTAGGCTGGGGAATTGGGGCTGGGGGGGATAATTTCAGACTTCTATAAAGTTGCCAAGACTGTATAGACCTGAACTCAACTTGAAGGAGACATTTTACTGCTTTTTTTTTTTTTTGGTAGCCATTAGCCAACCCTATCACAAAGAAAATATAGGCACTCAAATCTAACAAAAGATAATAATGCAGTCACTTTTCACTGTAGGTAGGTAGGTAGGTAGGTAGGGAAGGAAGGAAGGAAGGAAGGAAGGAAGGAAGGATGGATCACTTAAACATGCTAAATAAGCAGGATGGTCATCCATAGTGACTGTTACTTCTATGCAACCTGCATAAAAATTGACCAAGGATATAATTATTTTAAAAATATTTTAATTATTTTTTTAAAAATTGAAAAATGCAACCTGCATAAAAATTGACCAAGGATATAATTATTTTAAAAATATTTTAATTATTTTTTTAAAAATTGAAAAATGCAACCTGCATAAAAATTGACCAAGGATATAATTATTTTAAAAATATTTTAATTATTTTTTTAAAAATTGAAAACATTAAAAAATGATAAGGAAGGAAAGATTTCACCAGAACATTTGAAGTAGCATTATTTTTCTGAAACTTGAAAACAAAACACATTTCCCTCATATATGTAAACCCATAGTAGAAACACATGGGTGGACTGGATTTTTCAAAAGTATGATAATTTTATTTGTAAAAATAGATTTATAGCTCCTGTGGTTGAAAAAAACAGTTTGAAATGAAGTGGTTGCTATCTTTTGCAGACTTATAAGACATAAGAATCTGGATTCTAATTGAAAGCCTGGGATAACTTTGAAATTTGATTCTGTTGCCAAGAAATGTGAAATATTTATGTACAGTCTGATCCTGCCCATATCTTCTCAGAAGCCAGACCCACTGAACTTCATGAAAGCATGATCTATAGCAATTTTAGATAAAATCTTTTGCACAGTTTGAGGTAGTTTTGTAAAAATTAATCTGGCATCTAGGACATATTTTTCCCCAAACCATGATGCATGACTATTTCTAGTAGCCAAGTCCTTGACATCTTACAGTCATCTTTTGTCTCCCATGCTACCAGATTCATTCAGTGTCACCTTCTTCTATCTCCTTGATCATCAGTACTACTTGGCAGTTTATATCTGGCAAACCTATAAAAGTACATCGCTACCTATACATCTGAATTATTCCAATTTCAGAATTTGGGCACCTTCATTTGGGATATGGCTAAAAATGATTACACAGAAATACAATTATTCTACCTATTTCATTTATGTGCAAGAGGTAACACACTTTGAAAGCCAACATCCATGGACTGTCTCTGAAAAATGAGAGACTTTTTGTGACAGAATTAGCAGGACAGACACTTTCTGCATTTTTTTCAGACTCCAAACGTTTTCCATTTCTGTAGGCTTTTGGAGTAGTCTCTCCTGCAATTTTTCCTTTTCAACAACATAACACTGTGTCTAGATCAGCCATGAATGTTTTGATGCAGAGCCAATAAATACCCAGCAACGTTTTGTGTGCCTGTTGGCATAGGCATAGGGGATAAGCAGCTTTCCTGCCAAGAACAGTACATGAACCAGAGTATTCTCTGCTCACATTTCCTACAAGCCGGCTGTCCTGCAGACTTTGTTCGTGCATTGCACATAAGGAACAAGAAACAGTAGCCACTTCATCTCCATGTGTTATTTTGCCCAAAGGCATTTTCAGTATGGCAACAGCAATCACTAACGAAGCTAGACACTACTTTATGGGCAGTAGACACCTTTTGATAGACAGCCAAAAGTTGATACAGAATCTTGCATTCACTACACTTGCTAAATTTGCTGCTTGGGATACAAGCTCACAGACTAGAGGCAAGGAATTTTTATTTATTAATAATCTGTCTTGTCTATTGGGAGGAATAAAAGTGAATCAATGCATTGCTAGAAAAATAACTGGTCTAATCAAACAGTAAGCATGGATGAATGTACACAATATTCTCTAAAACTATGATTATTTTATTAAAAAGTTTACATCTTGCAAAATTACTAGACATTTCTCCTGAATAGGAATCACAAAATTTGCCTCCTGGTATAAGATCTAACTGTTATTAGCCTGCTTATTTGAAGAAGAAAATTTGTGGTTGTGAAAGGTAAAGGAGCACTAATGGTAACAGCTCGGGCATTTTTGTGTCTGAGGGTGATCTTGAACTTGGGCCTCCCCAAGGGAAATCCAACCGATCAGTCACTGCACCACATTGGGCCTATTTGAGATCCAGCACAAATGCCCGAGCTGGTACTATTAGTGCTCCTTTACCTTTCACAAGCACAAATTTCTTCTTCAAATAAGCAGGCTAATAACAGTTAGATCTTATACTAAGAAGCCAGTTCTCTGTAACCCAACTTAGCTCGCAGGAGTTGTTATGGGGAAAAGGGGGAAGAAGGGAACACTGCATATGCTGCCTGGAGCTTCTGAACAAAAGGCAGGATGTAACTCTAACAACACATAATTTCTTAAAGAATATTTTATTTATTCATTCATTAAGTCGAGAAAACTATTTTCCCCACCCCTCTCTAAATAACTCCAACATTTGCATTTACTAAAATTTCATTGAAGATGCTGTTTGGTGATATCTTTAGCTATAAATGATGGGTAATTCCATAAGAGAAAATATTTAAACCCACCTATAGAAAAATCACTGAATAATAGAATAAAAATCTTTAAAAACTTCCAATTCTATAAAACCAGTATTTTAATAATTTTGATGGCAGCAAAAACTCAGGATAAAATTCATTAAAATGCATTTTAATGTTTGTATTATTTTAATTGCTTTTATTTTTAAAATTTTGTTCGCTGCCCAGAATCTCTTGGTGAGATGGACAGCAATACAAATTAAATAAAGTAAATAAATAAATACATATCTGAAAAATGTATCCATTTAAAATCACATAATGAAGACTTGTATGTATGTTATACTGTTAAACAAATACTTGCATATTTGTAGGTAATTACATACAAACTTAAATACTTACATATTCAGTCTCCTGTTTCGATTCAGAAGAGAAATTCTGTGTGTCTGTGCTTTGTGAATCGTATTTGTAGCGCTGGGTATTTTTGGCATATTGTTTCCTTATGACATCTATTTTGGTCTGGTGGACATGTGAGTCTAACATCCTGTTTGTGTTGGGGACAGACTGATTTTCTGTACTACTGATATTCTGGTCTTCATCTGAATCACTGGAATTCCCTTTAAATAAAAACAAGTTAAAACAAGCTGTTAGCCAATGACAGTTTAATAAAAAGCATAATAATATGTTTTGAATATTGAATATTAACAGTTTATATTTTGCAATCATTTACATACATTACTGAATAGCAAACAAACAAATAAAAAATCAAGTCAGTACAATTCTGAGAAAGCACAGCAAAGCAGAAATCTCAATAAATATTGTTACATACATTTAGATTTAGGATTACATATAGAAAATGATCTGCTACTCAGGCCTCATTGCTTAAAACACCTGCTTATCCCAGAATCATGTCCTGAATTCAATATACAGCTCAGAGCAAATGGTTTAAAGATGGCAGCCTTAGAATATAGGGAACAGGATCTATTTTCTGAATAGAAAGAGTTCAGTGTTCTCATGACTGAAGGAACCTAGTGACTTTTCAACCTATCCTTCCAATGTTGTTATTGGGTTGCAGGGCTCGTGTATCTTTCACTTATATTTAGAAGTTTGAAAAATGGCCTATAAACTCTAAATGATTTGTTTTCCTAGTCATAATTTTAAGCCACATATGTCTAGAAAACTGCCTTCCCTGTATTTAAAGAAACATCTCTACCTCCCATCAGCAGAGGGCAGAATTGTACCGTGTCTGAACTGCTTCTGAATCTGGATCTAAATCAGAAATCTGTTGGGAAGATTGCCAAATACATTTATGTTAATTTGTCCTGACTTTTACGGGATTGAAATGGTTACCTATTTATTACTTTTAAAATTAATTGTAAGAATTTCTATTTTTGTGATTGCCATGAACAGTTTTTCCCCTACCCATGACAAATGGATTTAGACATACTATAATCTGTAAAGGTAAAACTGAATTACCAATTACTGGTAACTTTAAAAAAAATTTTTAGTCTTATGTCATTATTGAATTATTACTTCATATTTACTGCTATTCTGAAGGAACTGGCAATCCCTTTCAGGGCTGTGAATATTGCTTTGCTATGGTTCAAAAAACAAACATTATGCTTACTTAATTTTTCCTGAGACTTAAAAAAAAGTCACTTCTATAAAGGAAATGCTTCAAATATGAGGCAGACAGAAAGTTTCCATACAGTTAAGAAGCATGTGTGTATGCTCAATTTCTCTCCAGCTGCTACTGTACCTGGTTACATTTCCTTTGTGTATTTTGTTAAAGTTAATATCTCCCAAGCTCATTGGATGTTTATATTTCAGCCAAAACCACCTGTAGCAATAGTACCAAAAATGCACAATATTCAATAATTAACAGGGAATGTGTTCACCTATTAAGTGGTGGGCCCAGAAACATAGCAGCTTCACATTCAGCTATAAAAAAAATGATATAAAAAGCTCTACTCAGAACGACACAGGGCAAAATGCTATTCATGGCACAGAAAATAAAGGCCCAAGCATTTCTATGCAGAAGAGGCATATGGCATGTTGGCAAGAAGCAAAGGAGTAGAGTCAAAACTAGCCACTTGCTATTAGTACGTCACTATGACAAGTGGCAAAAGTAGGATAATACATTTCTGACAAATGGTCGAAGAAAGCAAAATTAACTGCTTTCTATAGATTTAAATCTATGCCTCATCAAAATTTAACCTTTTTGCTTTTCATGCAATTTACTATTTTTTTAAATGCCACTTTCCTATTATTTATTAACTGCTTTACTAGATACAGTACAGCTCCCTTTTAAAACCCATTTTTTCAGCTTTGTAAATCTCTCCCCAACAAGTATACATATAGATTTAGACAATAGTTTAATGCCTGTTATTAAATCATGATGAAACTGATTTGTATAATCTCTCACAGAACTATTTAAGGCACCAATAATAAAATCTGACTCTGCCCCCATGTTAAAAATATTCCATGATGATGATGATTTTTGTGCCTTCAAGTCAGTGTTGACTGCTGGCAACTACCTGGACAAGTCCCTGCAGTTTTATTGGCAAGATTTCAGAAGTGGTTTGCCAGTGCCTCCTTCCTAGGGCTGAGAGTGAGTGACTGGCCCAAAGTCACCCAGCTGGCTTTGTGCCTAAGATGGGACTAACACTCATGGTCTACCAGTTTCTAGCCTGATGCCCTAACCATTACACCAAACTGGCTCTTTCCTTCCTTCCTTCCTTCCTTCCTTCCTTCCTTCCTTCCTTCCTTCCTTCCT